TTTCCTTTGTAATAATAATAATAATCTTTTCTTTTTTGTATAATATATATAATATAATAATATATATAATAATAATCATCAGTAATAATAATAATAATAATAATAATAATAATAATAATTTAATATGTCATCACCATTGTCTACTAGCGATAGTCAATCTCCTCCTTCTAATCTTCCTCCTCGAGTTAATTCGAAAGTTTTGGCTTGTAAATGGGATGGCTGTTCAGAAACTTTTATAATTCTAAAAGACTTGGTATCTCATTTACATGATGGTAAGATAAAATTGATATTCAATATATTATATACGTGATAAACTTGCAATCAAACAAGTTCTTCCCCAGATTTAGAAGGACATGTACTAATTTAGTGTGACCAATTAAAAATTTTTTTCTTTTTTTTTTCTTTTTTAAAAAAAAAAATTTCGTGTTTTTCAAAAATTAAAAGATCACGTAGGAAGAAAAAAAGCTAATTATACTTGTGAATGGGCCAGTTGTCCTAGAAAAGGTGCTACTCAAACTTCTCGATTCGCTTTAATTACTCATTTAAGAAGTCATACCGGTGAAAAACCTTATGATTGTAAAGTACCAGGTAAAAAGAGTAAAAAAGATTATTTTTTTTTTTTTTTTTTGTATTACATTTCATTTGTTTTTTTCTCATGGTAATATTTATATTTATATTTATATTTATATATTTATTAAATTTATCTTTTTTATTTGGTTTTAAATTTTAGGTTGTGAAAAAAGCTTTACGCGACCTGACTCGCTTACAAAGGTATGATAAATTCTTCATATCTATTATCCATTAAAAATTTTTCTTAACTTTTTCTTGAATTAATTCAATTAATTAATTTCAAACTTTTTAGCATATGAAAAGTCAACACACTGAACCACGTAAAAAACGAAGTAGTATGGAAGAACCTCAAAGAACGAATAAAAAACGAAAAATGTCAACTTCACCTGAAGATGAAGAGGATTCTCAAACTTCTCTTAGGTTAACCCCAAATCGTTCTTTATCAAGACAATCCTCAAATAATCATAATAATCATAATAATAACAGTAATAATAGTTCTCCTTCAAGATCAAAACAACAACAACAAGCATTAAGACATTCGTTAGAAAGACAAAGACAAAATCAACAAAATTCTTCTTTAAGACATCAACAACCTTCAGAAAATACTATTAATCAAAATCGTAATTATACCTCGGATGATGATTCTTCTTTATCTGATCCAACAAATTCTTCTTCTTCTTCTGTTAATAATAATAATAATAACAACAATAACAATAACAATAATAATAACACTAATAACATTAATAATAGTGAGGATTCACAACAAAAATCTTTTTATGAGAAATATCTAGTTCTTAAAGCTAAACATAGATATATTAGAAGAGAAAATGAATTGTTATCAGATGAATATCAAGTAATTAAAAAGAAATTGAAAAGATTAAAAACCGAAAAGGACATTTTATTAGATGCTGTTATGCAACAAAATGGTGTTGATGAGAATGGTGGTGATGGTGACGCTGATATATAAATATCTATCTATATAAATTTGAGAAAAATCTTATATTTTTTTTTTCTTTTTTTTTTTTTTTTTTTTTTTTTTTTTTTTTTTATATGTTTCGGTACATATATATATAAAGGTATATATTTTCATATAATATATATGTATATACAATATTATGCGTATATTTGGATATAAAAAATTTCTTGCTTATTTTACACATATTACTCTTTCAATTTGTAAATAATTATATATTTTTTTTTTCTTTGGAAACTGGTAACGATGGAATTGACGAAAAAGATAATTTTTTTTTGTATATAAAGAGATATATTTAAATTCTTATGAAGAGCTAGTACAAAAAATATTTTCATTACAATTTTATCGTTATTTTTATGTTTTGTTAAATAAAAAATAAAAAATTAAAATTAAAAAATCCGATAACACAGGTTACCTGGTTAAAAACATAACTAATTTTACATTACTAATAAGACGATTTTTTTTAATTAAAATAATATTATTATTACAAAAATACTAATGAATAAAATTTTTATAATAATATTATTATTTTAGTTGAAAAATCAGAATCTAAACACATTTTAATAAAAGCAAAAGCCATTTATTTTTCTTAACAGACTAATAGTAAATGGTCTAAACCAAAAATTCTCAGATAAAAAAGTTATAAACCAATTTTTATTTTTTTTTTTGCATTTTCAATTCAACTTTTATTGATTTTAATCGACATTAATGATCAAAGATTTACAGCAAATATTTTTTTTTTAAAGAAAAAAAAAAACAAATAAATACAAAAACAGAAATGATGGATTTTATTTCTGAAAAATAAATTAACGAGAAGATTGAGACGCTGGAACCGCTTTTACGGAAGGAATATGACGTTCCAAATATTTAATTTCGGCTTCCAAATCCTGTTAAATTTCAAAAATTAATATTTGATAAAAAAAACAATTAACTAATTTAATATAATAAAATTTTTAATTAAATTTATACTAACTTGGCAATATCCATCCAATGGTAAATCATTTGTATCATAACCTTTGTTTTTTAAGAAAATTATTAATTTTAAAATTCAATTTTCATAAATTCAAAAATAAAAACAAAAATATTAACATACCGAATGGATTCTCAATTTCGGCACCTGTATAAAAAAAAATGAGTTTTTACTTAAAAAAAAATTTAATAAAAAAAAAGATATTTAAACGAAATATTACCGATAGATTCAACACCAAAAAGAATGAAGCCAACTAATACGACAATTGGAATAGTAATCCATCCGAGCATTGCAACTAAAGTGAATGGAAGTATCCAAACATATATAATGACGGCTTGTTTCCTATTCATAATGAAATAAAATTATTTTTAAAATCCAAATATCTTCATTAAAAACCAATTTTTAAAAACGTACTTACAGATGAACGTTATAAGCAAAAGGAATGGGTGTATTACCAATTCTTTCTAAATTACCAAAAATATCGACCAAGCTATTTAAATTTGAAGAAATAGTACCATAAGCACTATCCATAATATTATTTCGTTTTTTGTCAATATACAATCCAACATGAAAAATAATTTCAAGTGGTAAACTCATACTAGCATCAATTTCATTACCCCATTCTGATGCACCAAACCATATAGTTGTATTATCATTAGAATAATTATTACGAAGAGTACGATAAGTTGAAGGGGGGATTCTATTTGCAAGTGAACGAAGCGATGACCTAACATCGGGTAGATCTGTTGAAGGTCTATTGGCATCATGTCTATTAGGGTCTTCTTCACTTCCTGATCCCAATACTGTATTTTCTTGTGCAACATTTCCATCAAAGTTTGTTAATTGGAGTCCCTCAGGAAGAAGGTCATTTAAATCATACCAATCAATACCGAATTCTAAACGAAGATGATGTTTAACAGCAATTGCGAATGCCAATAAAAGTTTAACGTTCCTTTCTTTTTCTTGACGGTCACCCTCATCAACTTCCCTTACGCCAACCCAGATGTTACGTGTGGCGTTTCGAATGTCGGTACTAGTAAAACGAAAAATTTGTCTTTTTAATACTATCCATGTCATAGCAAATGAACTTTTTGATGTCGGCACGCGATATCAAGACTAAAATTATTTACCACATGCTAACAAATAATTTTCTGCCTTCATAATAACGATCATAAGCATTGTTCGTTCGAAAAGCCAAAAGAAGACCAACAACCACAGCAACAGTACCAACTGAAATTTACCATTATAATTAAAATATGTATAATATAAATAATTTTTAACCAACTTGATAAAAAAATAACTTACCCAAACTTTCTGGCATTCTGACATCTATATCAAAAATCTTGTATAGGACAACTACTTGAGTAGTGAAAAGGCCTGTAAAGAAAAGGACGGGAATTGTAGTCGGAAGCACCTATTAATGAATTCGGGTTAGAAAAATTCCTACAAAAAAAAAGACGAGATTTTTTCTTTTCTTTTAATGCTTACAGAGCCTCTAATTCGTAGAACGTCAGGGTAACCCCATCCTCTGCGCCGGCATAACCCACTACAAAATCTCCCTTTAGCGTTCGGATTTTTAAAATTAGCGTCAACTGGCATTTCGTAATTATTTAATTCGTTAAAATCGTTAAAATTGCGATGAAAAAAATAGAATAGAAAAGCTCGTAGAGGGACCTTTTATCTTGTTTTTGATGATAATCTCAGGTTGGTCCTCATTTAGAAATCTTGTGATGCTTTACAGCCCTCGTACATGCAATAAATATTTATTATTGGCCAAATAAATCAGCCTACAGATAAGGTCGCATATTGTACATTTAATCAATCCTTGAATTGGTGAAGTTTGGCGTTAAGGGTCCCTATAATGGAAAACAGTCTCGTAATCAATGACTCGTGTATTTCAAGAGTCGATTAGTGATCAGCATTAGATCAACTTTTTATGCCGATTTAAACTTTAAAAAATAATATTTCCAAATTCGTTTGTTGGTTGGCGCAAATAAATATTTATTTAAAATATTTATTTAAAATATTTATGATATTTTTCTGTTTCACCAAAAAAAAATTTAAATGTATGAATTAAACCACTCCAAGCCTCGCCCATTATAGGAAAGTTTTTCCGAAAATAATATAAACTATTGTATCAGCAGTTATCACACATGAATTTAACAATATACACTAAATCAGTAAATTTATTACATAAACATGAAAATTATCGAGTTTGAACCTAAAAATGAAAAGATGATATTAGAAGACGATACATTACATAAGAAAAAGTCTAATTATGAACATATTTACCAAATCATCGATCTTAAGCAGCATCTTTACGGTCTCTGCAGACAATTCTATTGCACTGGTTGACACAAGTAAAGGTTGTATGACATTTTCTTCGAGAATATTTGAAATTGTACCCTTAAATATAAAAGTGTATGTTAAAAACTTCCTTCAAAAAAATAAATAAATAAACAACCAAAATAAATCCTAACGCTACTTTTTTCACATTTATTCCTGCAGTTTTCTCTCCTAAAGCATGTTTATTTCTTAATTCAGTAACAATATTAATGGGATTCAATCCTGCATTTTCAGCTAATGTTATCGGAATAACTTCAAGCGCATTGGCAAAAGCTTCAAAACAATGAGCTTCCATGCCCTTTAGTGTTTTTGCATACTCCGATAATCGCTGCGAAACTTCAATTTCAGGTGCTCCCCCTCCTGCAATGAGTGCTCTAATTGAAGAATTACAAGCATTTAAAAATTATTTCCAAATGTTACTTTTAAAAATCAAAAATAAGAAATCTCACTTTTTCTTTACAAGACAGCGAACAACACAAAGCGCATCATGAAGTGAACGTTCAGCCTCTTCCAAAACCAGAGAATTAGCACCACGACATAAGATTGACACAGTTTTGCCAATGTGTTTGACACCAGTAATTTTAACAACACGAGCACCTGAAGTTTGAACTTCGTCAATAAGTTCAGCATAACCAAGTTTATCCTCAGCAAATGATTCTATATCCGCAATTGGTTTACAGCCAGTACTCTACAAAATGAAATATAACTTAAGTTGAAAAGGAAATTTATGTTAGATTTATAAATTATAAAAGAATTACCTTACAAATAAACTCAATCTCGTCTCTTTCAATATCTTTAACCACTAAAATTTTCAACTTTGACAGGAAGTGTAAAGACAAATCATTAACAGCATCTCTAAGAATTGATTTTTGAATTAAAAGAACATTACATCCTGTTTTTTTAATTTTTTTACACATATTAAGAAGATATTGTCTTTCTTCCTTTAAAATTTTATCCATAAGTCTATAATCATTAACTATGATTTGATTCTCCATCTAAATATTAAAAAATAAAATAAATGTGAATAAAAAGAAAACTGAAGAAATTAAATTTACTTGGTATAATTCATACATCGGGTTTTGGTGGAGATAATTGAAACTGAATTAGGCCTATCTTTGCTTTCTCAATGCGAGTCGGTCCTCCAGAATTTTTAACAACATTTTGGGTAAGTACTAATCCATCTATTAATTCGGTGTCATCGATTGTCCCACCAACTTTTTTAACAATACGAATATCTTTTAAATCCACATTAGTAGCTGTTGCTGGGTCAATTACGCGCAATACGGCATCAACAGCAATAGGGGCAAGAAGGCCAGAATATTGTGAAACAATCTATATAAAAAATATTAAATAAGACACATAAAATTTTTTGTAAAAAATTGATTACTTAACCTACTTTTGAGTTTAATGAAGTGCTAGCGGCCCTTAACAATGAATTCTTATCTGATAAATCTATTTGAGTAGACATCTCTGTAAGAAATTCAGTTGATTTATTGGCAGCGCGCTGGAAAGCTTCAGCAATTGTTGTAGGGTGTATCCCTGAGAATTAATAATTAAAAACACATTACTTATTATATATAAATCACTAATTGCATTTCTAAAGAAAGATCTTAGTTTAATGAGTTCTTCTCCTTTTAATACGATCCGCTATTTCTCGGACTATATGGAAATTTTATTACCCTTAACAAGCATTTTCTCAGCAGCTCCCAAAAGTGCGCCTGCAATAACTACAACAGACGTTGTCCCATCTCCGGCCTCAACATCTTGAGCAGCAGACAAATCAACGAGCTGCTCAATAATTTATTTGTTAGATTAAACTGAACAATTTACAAGTCTAAAACATAAATATAAAACTTTTACCATTTTAGCTGCGGGATGTAAAACAGACATGTGTTTCAAAATTGTAGCTCCATCATTAGTGATGACAACTTCACCACTACCAGTTTGAATCTAGTTGAATTTAATAATCAATAGCATATGATTAAGTGTAAATAATTAGTTGTGAGGTCATGTTTATTGTATGTGATCCATTTTTAAACCTGCAAAACATAAAAATTCTCACCATTTTATCCATGCCTTTAGGACCAAGGGAAGTCCGCACAGCATCCCCTACCGCTAAAATAAATGAAATAGATTAAATTAATAATTTTTTTCTAAGCAAAAATTTTAGACGAATTTAATTTAGATCTATCTTTCTTTGGCTACATTTTATTTTTTACGATCATCCAAATTTTTAGTAAAAAGTTTCTTTGCTTATTTTAACTTTGAATGGCCTAAGTGTTTTCGTATTCTCTTGTGCAAAACTTCAAGAACGAAAGATATTTCGAAGCGTGTTACGCTCCAAAGTTGTATTTAAATTAAATAATACCTTTAGCAGCGATAATGTTGCTAAGTCGAACTTCTACGGGCTTTTCCTTGTCTTTGAAAGATCTATAACTCGATACTTTGTTTTCTGTCATAACCACTGTGTACAAAAAAAAAATTAAAAATCAGTTGCAGATATTTACGTGTACGATCAGCCAATTAGATTAATAAGTTAGGATAAGATCCCAAAAAATTTATGATCAGCAAAAATTATATATATTCATATTTATCATGAGTTCTTCAGACAAGAATATTTCAATAGATTCTCAATCAAATGAATCAACAACCAAAGAAAAGCGATTCTCGATAGTTTTGAAAGTAAGTTGGAACCTTCACACAACTTTATAAACTCCTTATTCATTCGACTGACATTATGCTATAGAATTTGAGTCTGAATGACTTCAAAAATATTGGTAAAATTCCATGCGCCCGTAAAAGTTTCTTGTACGGAATTGGCGGAGGAACAACCATTGGCGCATTAAGATTTTTACAGAAAGGTTTGGTCAACTCTGATTTCATGGTACGCTTAGTACTGTACAAAATAAATCAAGTGTACTATATTAAATTAGGGTGTAATTATGATAATTACAGGTAGTGTTCTCTCGGCTTCAAATTGGGCTGTTGGATCGTTCTGTATGATCTCAATTGGAACATGGTGATAATATCTTTGCAATCTTAAGACTTTTTTTTTTCTTATTTTATATTTTATTTATTTTATTTGTTTATAATATTTCTTGTTGGATATTTATAATTGTTTATTGTAATAATAGGGAATATTGTCGTATTAAACGACAGCTCCAAAACGACAAACTTAAGATAGTTGTAGAACAAATCAACGAGTTAAATAGGAAGAAAGCTCAGGCTAAAGCAACAGAAAAGGCCAAGCAAGTAGACACAAATATAACTTGATGATTCATTCACGTTTACTATTTGTTATTACTAAATTAGCAAAAAAAAGTCGAATTTTTTATACCTTTTGTAAGAAATTTATCAAGGATTTCCCGTTATATGGATTCTCGATCATATTCTTGGGAATCTTTTCGTTGAGATACATACAATACGACGCGTTATTGTATTAAAGCAATGATCGATCATTTCTAAAAAAAGGAAGATTTTTCTCCCAAGTTTAAAACACCTACCCAATTTTTTTTCTTTTTTATTTATAAAATACAAATTCCAAATGGCGATGTTTATTTGCACCATTCATTCCACATTAGGATGTATGTTTTCCCTGTAAAAAAGTAGGATCTCGTGATTTTCTCCTTATTCCTAAAAAAAAAGATTATTAATGTGCGAGATTTATCTAATTATTGATTGCAAAACTTGTTTATGAGTATCTATATTTATAAAAAGAAATTAATGAACGAAATATATGGCGTATTGACAGGAGTTAATCAGTAATTGTGCCTTCACAATTATTAACGAGATGAGGCGGTAGATAATGAGTCAACTTTGGTAAGAAGTTGGAGTGCATCGAGAGCGCGTTGATTGGGATATTATCACGTGAATTTATGTACAATGTTTAACAAAAAAACTAGCTGGGAGAAGAACGTTGCAGAAATTTATCTTATGACGTCTAACTTTTTTTTTCAGTTACATAAAAGGGGGTCATCGAGAAAAATGCTTAAATCTCTTCTTTTTGTTTCTTATTCAAAATATCCTAAGTGTTCAACTGTTATATCTATCGATAGTGATATCGTTAAAGGCTGCTCCAACTAATTTCTTTTTTTTTTCGATACAAAGTTCGTTGCCTTTAACTTGATTTTCATCGAGACCTTTTCTATAAAGTTGATGTGACTCACGTAACGTGGTACTCACTGTTTCAACTATCCTTTGGTATAGGCACTTAATTTTAATTAGTAATACCCATTTTCGCCCCGCTTTCACGCATTTTTGTCCCTAATACTACCACAATTTTGGCACACTTGGGTGTGTGCCTTACTGACATTTACCCATCCTGGAACGCGACTCGCAACTTGGAAGGACTAGTAGCAGAGGCAATTCAGTCAATAACGACACACATCAACTTTCGTTACGAAGATTATTAGAAAGTGCTTCTGCTGCAGTCACTCAGACTTCTTCACACACACTGCTTAGCAACTTTGACGAAGATCAAGTTCCTTTACCTTTCTCTTTTGCTTCGTCATCACACATTACTTCTCCTTCGAACTCAAGTTCTTCTTTTCCTACGGACGAACTACGAAGTCAGACAAGTGGTTATCACCCTCGAGACGAAGTAGACGACTATCTTCAAGCTAGTGACTCTGATTCGGAGTTACGTTCACCTAAACGTTTGCGACTCGAAGAGCTTACAGAAAGACAACCAACAATGAGGATCAACCAAAATGAAAATGGTGTAGGAGGTAGCACTAACGGCGTTTCTCTTAATAGTAATGGAGATTCTCAGAATGCAACCAATGGTCAAGCATTGACTAGTAATAGAATACAAAGAGCTCGGCGACAAGAGTTGGTTAGGCTAATGGTTCAAGCAATGCAAGACATGGGTTATAGGTATGCTTGTATATTTTGATTCCTTGTGATCTCTTGAATAATAAATTCATTTTAATTTTTTTATAAAATTTTTTTAAGTCAATCTGCTGTCACACTTGAAAAAGAGTCTGGATTTCCACTTGAAAGTGCTGCAGTTGCGAAATTCAGGGATGGTGTCTTGAAGGGAGATTGGACTTTAGTAGAAAGTCTTTTCCCAACCTTGGAGTTAGATCAAAACAAAGATGTCGTGGTAAATTTTATGAATTAATTAATTTATAAATTCTTGCTATAATTTTAATAAATTATAATTTAATTTCTTTCAGGTTGTGAGATTTTTGATCCGTCAGCAAAAATATCTTGAATTACTAGAAACGCGACATATTAAGAAAGCTTTAATTGTGTTGAGGAATGAACTTGCTCCACTCGATTTTAACTCGGAAAGACTTCATTCCTTGTCAAGGTAAGTTGTGTTAATTGAAACTTATAATAATTAATAGACTATAAACCTTAATATTTATGAATCTTTCTTTCTACCTATAATAGTTTTATGATGTGTAGTAATGCAGAAGATTTAAGACGCAGAGCTGAGTGGGATGGCGCAAAAGGAACATCGCGCCAAAAATTATTAGCTGAAATTCAAAGTATTTATACATATTATTATTATTATTTAAAAAAAAAATATCATCTTTTTTTTCAAATGTTTAACGAATTAAATTTTTAGAATATATTTCACCTTCAATCATGGTTCCTGAACACCGTCTCGAGACATTGTTAGAACAAGCAACTACTTTGCAACGCATATCCTGTCTTTATCACAATTCAAGCGAATATATTTCGCTATATTCCAACCATGTTTGTGACAGGTATTATAAAGCATTAATTATTATTATTATTATTATTTATGACATTTTTCTTATTTATCATCATTTTTTTTTTAATAAAATAAAAAAAAAATAAATAAAATAATTAGATCGCAATTTCCTTCAGTTACTACCCACATTTTCAGACACCATTCTGATGAAGTTTGGTATGTTGCTTTCTCTAATAATGGGAAATTCCTTGCTTCTGCATCAAGAGACAAGACAGCTATCATATGGAGCCTTGAAGTATGAATTGTCAATATGAAATTTAGCAATAAGCTTATTTTCTATTTGTAAAAATTTATTTTTCGTTTGACTAACATAAATCTTATATATCAGACCTGGGATAAAGTTCATGTGCTCAGTGATCATACTGATTGTGTGTCCTTTTTGTCTTGGTCTCCGGATGATACAAAAATCATAACTTGTGGTCAAGATAATGTCTTAAAACTTTGGAGTGTGGAGGTAAAAAAATTTTTTACCAAATAATTGAATAAATCCGACAAGTTAATTAATGATAATCATAATATAGTCGGGTAGTTGTTTAAGTACCATGAAAAAACATGAAGAACCGGTAACTGCATGTGCTTGGCTCCCAGATGGAAAATGGTTTATTTCTGGAAGTCAGGATAAGAATACTTATTTATGGGTAAAATTAATTTAACTTGATTGTCATAATTGTTACCTTTTTATACATATATTTACAATTTTTTATATTAGAATTTAGACGGTACAACAATTCATAAGTGGCCTGGTGCGCGAATAGCAGATTTAGCAATTAATAAAGAAGGAACTAGAATGGTGGCAATTTGTCATGATAACAAGATACACATATATGATCTTATAACAAAAAAGGAAGAAGCGTACGTAAAAAAAAACAAATGATATATAATTTTTTCGGCGTAAAATTTTTTTTCACTCCATTATGATATCTAATATAGGACAATGGAAGAAAATGCAAAACTCACCTCAATTTGTCTATCGAGTGATTGCAAATATGCTTTAGTGAATCTATCCACAAAGGTAGGACTATTTAAAAAAAAAAAGTTATGAAGAAGGATGGTTATTTAAAGAGGATATTATCTTCCAATTTAGGAAATTCATTTATGGGATATTGACGAAAGGCGAATTGTGCGAAAATATTTGGGCCAGAAGCAAGGGAAATTCGTTATACGATCTTGTTTTGGTGGAATAGATCAGGGATTTATTGTTAGCGGAAGCGAAGGTTTCGTATAATCTTAGAGCGGTTTATGTTCTGAATAAAGGTGTGACACTATTGAATTATAATAATCATTTTTAGATTCGAAGATTTACGTTTGGCATCGAGAACATGCAGATTTGATAGAAACATTATCTGGGCACAAAGGAGCAGTTAATAGTGTTAATTGGAGTCCAGTCAATCCGTACATGTTTGCTTCTGCGGGAGACGACAATACTATTCGAATGTTAGTTTTATTTAACTAAGTTCTCAAAAGTTTCTTTATTTCTTATTAAATATTTTCTATATATAATTATTTGTAGATGGGGACCACCTGGTTCTGCTGATCATAATGGAAAAATGAAGACACCATGATCATGCATTAATGATTTATGCAGTTATGCAAATCCGTACATTACTTTCCGAAGCTTTGTACGGCTTTTGCGGATTTGCATTAAACACACTTCCGCAAAAGTTAAATTTAAGTTACTGCGTGCCCGACGCGCGTGTTTTTGTTGGTGTAAAGAATGGATTTTATATTCGAAAGATCCGAGATAACGTCTTCATTTTACATCATTTTTAATTAATTATTTTCCTTTTTTTTTTGTGTAGATAGTGATCCTATATGCTTCTGATCTGGAGCTTTTGGCTTTTTTCTAGAAGCATTTGAGATCGTTGTTTTTAGATTATATATAAAATCAATTCCATTTTTCTTTCTTTAAGTTGACTTCTTTGCAAAATATATACTGTAATTCCAAAATATTGTATATTTTTTTTCAAGATGTTTATTTCTTTTCTATTGTTAAGATAAATAGGAATTTTTTTTCAAATTCCTATAAATTGAATGTAAATTATACTGTCACTAGACGTAAATTTACAATTATGAAATTTTGAATTTTCTTTATTCATCTTGGAGAGGAATCATTCCATTCTTTATCCAACATGTCTGAGGCCAAATCTAATGACATATTATAATTAGTTAAATTATAATATAAAAATAATCACGAACAATAAATATGAAAAAATTAGATTTTACTCTCGCAAATACTCTCCCTCTAATCAAAGCATAAGGCACCGGACCATAACTTCTAGAATCTGTTGAATTACTCATATTGTCGCCTTGTAACCAAACGTGGCCACGGGGAACCTGTTAAAAAAAAAGAAAAAAAAAAAAATTTAAACCAAATTAATTAATGGATACTTTTAATAAAATAAATATGCTTATCTAACTTACTATGATATATTTCCGATTTATAACTGTTGGATCAATGCAAATACGATCTCCCGGCTAAACAAAAACGTTAAATAATTAATTTAAGAATATCTAAATAATATTCTTTTTAATGAGTTTACCATTCCTAATATCCTTTTACAAACGGCTCTCCAAGGATTTGTAGGAGATATGCAAACTACTACATCTCCTATTTCAAGGCGTTTTAATTTGGGGCTGAAGTGTTCCAAGACTACAATATCTCCAATCATGTTGAAAGTTGGAAGCATTGAAGGCCCTATACACTGACATTTTTTGAAAAGTAGGTAAAAACGTAATTTTAATAATGGTTTATAAGGGATAATATTACCATTGTAACTTCCGTTACATGTTCTCCTATAAGATGGACAAAACAAGCAAATTTTATTGCCCATTCAATTTTTTTGAAAAAAGATCGACCGAAAGGTATGATAAATGGCATATTTTTTTAAAATTTCGAAAACGACGAAGCGAATTTTTTTAGATTGTACACTAATCTTGTAATACAGTATGAATGCTTTTCCATATATGGCATTAATGCAACTTATTGGGGCAAAAGTATCGATCTTGATACTGTAGATTTGCGGTACTTGATAGAATACCATAGAATTTTCTCGATAGAGCGGTAACGTAACACTGCATTTTATCGGTATTCTTCTTAAGTGCATTTTATACTTTTTCTTTTTGGTAATTTAGTTCGAAAAGTCTAGTTTTTGTAAATTTATTTATACTTACTGATATAAGTTTTCTTTAATAAGATTCATTTTGAACCCATATTTTAAGTTGGTGCAATAAATACGTTAAAAGAAGAAATATTAACAAAATTATTTAAAGTATGTTGAGATGGGATACGTATTTGATTTATCTTAAGAAGAGCAGTTTGTGACAGCCACAGTAATAATATGCTGTAAACCTATGGCCATGTGAAATGGCACAGTGAGAGAATTAAAATAAGAAAGTTAAAGAGATTTAGATAGGATAAGAAATGTAAAAAATAAAAATACTATAGAAATTGAAGAATGGTACGCCTGTAGAAGGGAGATCGTAAGAGATTAAGTTTTCTCGCCACTTAATAATTAAATACTTCTCTATTTTCCGGTTTCTTTCAAAAGAATATAAATTCCATCAACATTTTCTCTTATCCCTACATCACAAAACTCCTGCTTCGATGTTTTAAATGATTTTATCGATGATGTAACTTCCGCTATATTTGCAGAATTATAATTTTTCCATATAGAGTTTGCTTTATTCTTAATAATGAAGCTAAATTAGAACCAGAAGAGTTTGGTTCAAAAAATATTGTAGCAAGTGCTGAACATTCACCGCTAAATACTTTTTTATTTAAGAAATTTAATCCAAGAAGCAAAGAAGCAAAGTATCAAATTTTTCATTAGTTCTTTTATCAAAAACATAAAAGTATTTGTCATAAATTAAAGTCCCTCTCTATACTGTGCTTTCTGTAAAAAAAATAACCCAGTTTGCCATCAAAATCTGGTCGAAGATGGTATAATTCTGGGATGCTTATTTCCTTTGGTACTTGAAAGTTGGTACAGTCACTTAATACACGTTTCTAAAGGCATAAAAGGCTTAATTAATAAATATTTCAGTTAAAGAGACTCAACTTTTGTTTTTTTAACCATAATTATAGTAATAAAATTGCCGATGGAAATTTTTTCTTCAGAGAAATGCGGCTTAAATTTAAAGAATCTGTACACTTTGGGATCAGTGGTTTGGTTTTTCGAAGTCGTATGACTTTGATGATCACTATTAATCGTTTCTTGATCTATTACATTTTGGATTTGTGCATTAGTTAGTTTTGAAATCTCAGTTGCGCTCCTGATTTTATCTATACCAACTCCACTTTTTCCGAACTACATGAGAAGTTTCCTTGCCCAAAGAGTCTTCTTGTATATATATATATATATATATATTGCAAGTTACACTACTTGGTAGTGGGAATTCATATTTTATTAATTACTCAAAAACATACATATTAATAATACTTGAAATTTTAATATGTAATAACATAAATACTACAGAATATATATTCAAAATTTCATAGTTCTAGCTTTCATACAACTATATTAATTAAAAAAAGAAATTTAATAATTGCTACATTACATGCTTGAAATTTTAATGTGATAATATTAAGGTTGCCTGCCTAAACCTCTCCAAAATCATATGTTTAGTTCACCAAGATTTTACTATAAATTTATTATAGTTTTGGCAAGATTTCAGCAGTTTCAGCATTTATAATAGGTTTTGTCAAGCAAAGTTTTGCTATTTAATGTTCATTGAGATATAACTTTGAAAAATGTTTTTTATATAAATATTTTTTTTTTTTAAAAAAAAATATATACTAATAATATAAATGAATTAATTTATGAATCCTCTTCTTTTTAAAAATTGATAATGAATTTAGCATTTTGCTAACTTGCCAAAACCCTTTAGTTTTTCCAGTAACCTTAAATAATATAGATTTTAATAGCATTTCATTTTTTAGATACATACACCAGTTGAATGATGCCAAATCAGAGACCAATTAGATGATCGAATTCCATCCGATTGGTCCCTATTTTTTTTCAATTTTCATCAATCGGTAAACCTTATTTTTGACCAAGTACATTCATTAGTAGATGAGACTCAAGACGAAAAATGTTGAATTTGGTCATTCGTATGCCATTTTGCTGATAGGTGGAGAAATCCTGTAAAAATCATAGAGGAATTTGACTCTATTTTTTTATTTTTGATATTTTCATAATGATAATACTATAGTTTATATCAGGATTAGTTTTGTAATTTGTTTGGTTTAGACTACGAAGTTCAGAGGGCTAAGAAAAAGTTCAATGTAATCTGAACTACACTTATATAGCCATATAACTACCCAACTGTGCACATATAAGATTTCTTTAAGGAAATGATAAGTGGTTTATTTTGTTTAGTTAGTCTTAGTTAATTCTCTTATGTACTTATATATATTTGTAAAACTTTGACTTTTTTTTTAATAAATATACAGCAGTTAGCAAAAAAAAAAAGATAAATTTATAACAATAAGAAATCTTCTGATTGCATACATTTTTATTTAAAAATATTTAATATTTTACAATAATTTCACTTAATAGTTTAAATTTATTAATTTTTAAAAATACAAAATCAGAAATACTACTAATACTTAATGTTCTGCATATAGAGCTTTCTTTGAACAGATAAAATCCTAGGATTTATCTAGATTATCCTATTATTCAAATTTGTATCTAGTTAATTTTAACCAGATATTCAGATTTAAGAATTTACAAATGAATAAATTTTAGATTATCTGAATTATCTGAATTATTCTATAATAATTAACATTTATGTTACACATATAAATATTTAGTATTACTGTATTACTTTAAAAAACATTTTTTTTATTCTAAAACAAAGAAAAAAAAAATTAACAAAGAAATACTTTGAAGTTTAAATATTATTTCTAAATATGCTGTAATAAACGGTTGAATATCAAATATGAAAAGATGATAAAATTCAGTCACCAAATATAATTGCCAAATATTAAGAACAAACAAATTAATTATGAATTGGCGTAGATGGATGAATGATTAGCCGAAAAGGATAAACATTTAGAAAGAGTAATGATCTACATGATGTAATATTTATCGAATGATTAACAAGGAACCAATAGATTGAGTAGGGAGTCGATCAATTGCTGCTTAGCAACCAGTTTGTTGAGTTCAACAATAAGAACAATTAGAAAGAATAATTATAAGCCACAAAAGGTAAATCATATAAAATGGAGGGATAGCGGATTAAAGGAACACGCACAATGAAAATACATAAAAACAATATTATAAAACATATTATAAAAGATAATATAAAAGATGATACGAAAAGATATAAGCCACAAAAGATAGAATATAATATATTAAAGATAGAAACATATTGGAAGAAAGTATATTAAAAGATGGAACATAAAAAGATAACATGCAACATATTAAAAATAGAAATATATTGAAAGATAGTGTATTAAAAAAGATGGAACATAAAAGATAACATATTAAAAAAAACATATATAAAAAGATAACATATTAAAATAGAAGATACATGCATATTAAAAATAGCATATTAAAAGATAGTGTATTTAAAATATAGATAACATATTAGAAAGATAGTACAAAGATAATATGTAAAAAGAACATAAAAGATAGTATATAGATAGCACATATTAGAATAGAAAGTATCATAAAATTTGTTTAAATAGAGAGCAGAATTCAAAGCGAATTCCACAGTTATTTAGTTAGACAGTTTGGAATAACTCAATAAAAATATAAGTTTCATTTAATTATTTGTTAGTGAAGTTTAATATTAATTAAAGGTAATAGGTTCGCTCTAAACTTTAATTAATGTTTGCTTAATTAATTTTAATTGAATAAAATGAAAATTTTAAGATGAATTAAATATACACTTTTGAAAAGTAATGCTTCGTAGCGAAAGCTATCGAAGTTTGAAATTAAAGGTAAAGTGGATAAAAATTGGGGAAAATTCAGAGAAGTTAAATTAAATTTTATATCGCTCGATATTTTATATTACTAACGCTATTTACGTTGTAAACCAAGAATGTTGTTGTATATTGCTGTTATATGTTGTTGTATGTTGTTCGTTGATTATTTGCTTGTTTTATTGTTCGTTCGTTCGTTTATTTGTTCGTTCGACCATGAGAATGCCTATTCAACGTGGCAACTCTGTAAATTGATGACAGAGGAAATAGGGGGATCTCAATGCCAACCGAAAGAACTATAGAAATACATTTACAATCTGAAGATAACTATATTGATATAATTAATATAGAAAATCTTACACTATCAGAAAATCTTATAACATCTTTAGAAGATACTAATAGTATAGAAGAGTATACAAAAAATGCGTTTGATAAACTTCTTAATATAGAAGAAGATTTAAATTTTCAAACTAAAAGTAAAGAAGGATCAAAACTTTGAAGTTGAATATATAATTGGGAAAAACAAAAAAATTATCCAACCAATTCAAACAAGTTTATTTTTGAGTGAAATCAAAAATTAGATAATGATGAAAATTGCACTGTGAAAATTAAAACTTCAGGTCCAACTAGTAATATTAGTTATCTTAATCGAAAACACAAAATATATGAACATTCTAAACCTTTATCAACTATTACGCCATCCCTAAAACAGGTAAAAATTGATTGTTATACCATTTTGTCAGATTCACATTTACAAATAACATAAAATTAATAAAAATACTTGAAAACCCTTTTTTTTGAATGGCTTATTCTAGATTTTCAACCTCTTTATCTTTTGAAATCTCCTTCTTTTTATCGATTTATTAATGCATTAAATGAAAATTTTGAACTTCCAACTGATAAAGAATTTTGAAAAAAAATATTTAAAGTATATGGATTTTTAAAAAATAAATTTAAGCAGTATATTCATGAAAATACAACTTTGATTTCACTTACTTGTAATCTCTGAGCTTCTTGTAGTAAGCAGGGTTTTCTTGATGTTACCTGTCATTTTATTACACCTGATTTTGAAATAAGAGAAATTACTTTAGCTATTCAATATTTAGAATATCTATATACTGGAGATACTATTTAACAAACGTTAGAGAAAATTATTACTTAATAAAAATTGCAATATAAAGTTTTTTTCTGTATTACTGATAATATATCTAACATGAAAAAATGTCTTATCCAAATTGCACTGGTTAAATGAAAAAATTTTGGTATAGTAAATGCCAGTCAAATATTAGGAAAAATTGGCATTAATATTCATCCAATAGACCTTAATAAGAATTAATAAGTATCGGTATATGTGATATTACATTGAATATCATCTGTAATATTCTGATATGCATAACAAAGATTTGAGCAAATTTCAATAACCATATCGATTATCTGATATACTAGATAATCGTAGAACAATTAGTAATTCTAATTTAAGTATTTTTATCTGTTCATTTTTAAATAATCTCTCACTAAATAAATTTTTAAGTTTTTACTTATTATTTGATAATTTTCACTAAAAATTTTTTAGTTCCGTATACTATTAAAAAAATTTTATATGAATGTAAATTTCACACAAATATAATAAATAAACTAATAATTTGTAATATAATTTTAAAATATTAGTGAGAAACTATACTTTTTGTCAAAATGACAAAATACTAAATTAAATTTATTTTGACAGACGTAATTAATTCATAGTAATTTTATAATAAATACTGAATTGGTCTATTCGCTGAAATATGACGTAATTAATTAGCAGAGAAGTATACGAGAAACAAAGAAAATTAAATGTGGTATTTTCTATTTATTGGAATAATAGCTATATAATTTTTTTGGATTTTTTTGTCTAACTTTAAAATTTCCTGAAACAAACTGACATAATATATTATATATGAAAATGATGCAATTTCATCTTATTTCAAAAAATTCGTCTTTCTATAACTCAATATTACAGGAATTGATATTATCATCTATTGTAAAATAAAATCTTATTTTCCAATTTTTGGTTGGTTTGTACTATCTTACAAAAGCTAAATAATGCGTTTTTAGATTCTTCTTTAGGTCAATGGTATACTTGAAAAAAAATTGAATTTAGTTAGGATACATATCAGTAGTATCATCATTTAAAATAAAGCATGCCAAAATCTTTGCTGATTTAATGTATTTGGAAGATAATGTTAATCCAAATATTTCCATTCTAATTCTCAATCGGCTAAATCAGCTAACTTGCGTTAAGACAAGAATAAACCTTCTGGAGCATTACACTGGTCAAAATTGATGCTATCGGGTACATATCGGGTACCTATATATCAGTGACTAATCAGATACATATCGGACATTTATTATATATCGGTACCCGATATGTAACATATCAAATATGCCTAAAAATCAGATTCCCGATATCTAAACGATTAGTCACTGATATGTAACACTGAATCAATCTTACACATATCGGGTACTGATATGCAAAATATTTATTTATTGTATTTGTATTATATAATTCAAAGAGGTATATTAAAATTATTACTAAAAAAAGTATTTTAATATTAAAGATAATCGTTTATTCATATAAAACCCCTTATTTTCAATTTTTCTTTATTTTTTCTGATATCACAAATAACTGACGAAAATATTAAAAATATACATATTTTATTTTAAAATTAATTGGATTGAATGTTCAAATTAATCTTACATACAACTTTATTTTAATCAATTCGTATAAATGCTAATTGATAAGAATAACCTAATAAAAGTATTTAATCATAATATTTAATTATTTTTATGTTTTTTACCTCCTTTTTTTGCTTTTTTTGTTTTTTTTATTTTTTCTTTTTTTATTTTCATATTCATCGTTATGATATTCGTCACTTTCTTCATCTTTATCAGTATTATAATCATATGTTGGAATTTCATTTGTTGAACGATTAAATCTTTTAAGAGCCTTGTCGGTCAGACACCAATTTGGTGTATCCACTGGAGGCATACTTGTTGTTGTTTTACATCTTTGAACTCTTTTAATTTTTAGAATTCGAGGTTTTTTCCTCAGTTTTTCAACGGTCAGATCAATCCGATCATGTAATAAATGCTGAAGCTTTAATAAATAATTACTATTAATAAATAAAATAAATAAAATAATCTTAAATATATTGTACATACTGCAGAAGAACGCCACCATGTTTTATATATATGAATTGACATTGTCTTTTCTTTAACAGCAGATTCTTCACCAATTATATCATTTTCTTCATCAGAATCGGTTTCCTCCCACTCCTCTGAATGATAACCAGATTCCTTAAGAATTCGTACAAGCTCCTTCTCCGGGTATCTACGAATGTATTTATCATTATTTTCTATTAAATAGTTTGCCGCTTGAGCTCTTCTTTTTTTTTTCTATAATAATAAATAATTATAAAATTAAATAAAATTAACTAAATTCCCACTTCATATTAATAAAATGGTTACTAACATCCATAGTTCTTGAATTCTTCTTTAATCTCCTCCTATCCATTTTCACTTTGTCGTCTTCTTGCTTCTTTATATTGCTTACATGATGGCGTGAACGCCAACGTCTATGTAACATCTTTAAGATGTCACTATTTGAAACATTATACTTTTTGTTGACTAACTTATAAAGCGGTGGAAGTAATTTTGTAATTATATTTTCTTTTTGCTCAAGCCACGTACGATCACTATCGATCTCATATATATCCTTAAATTCAGAATCTACCCAGATAAAGACTTCTTTCTATAAATAATAAATAAACGTAAATATTTGGGAAAATTCAATGACAGATAATAAAAAAATACTTACTTTAATTGTTCGATACATATTTTGATTCAAATGAATAGCATTGTCTGACAAGGACGAAGATGAATAGGTAGAAGATGATGAGGAAGATGAGGAGGTAGATTCTTGATCACTATCCATCATCT